CTAATGTTACAACTAATCAGGGATCCCTTTAAAGGGAACATGTGTAATTTTTTAGCATTTTGTTGTGTACTTGGAATCTGTAGAGGTGTAGAAAAGTTGTTCTTAGTTTTTCCCGGTTCTGCGTAGATATCTTTATATTCCGTTTGGGTCGTYATTTTTCACCCGTTCAGTTTTTTGTATTTTCTGTTATTTTCTGAACTATTAGATCTGGACTTACCAACTACAGTTTTGTTGTCTTCGGGGTTTGAAGTGCCTCGTTTGGATTTAAAGAGACAGCATCAAAGGAGCTGATCTGAGACGCACCTCTGAAAAGGGGTGAAAGAGGGGCTTGTGGAGTTACAATAAGGGGCAATTTATACTAAAGCATCGCAGCTCCACTTTATATAGACCCCAACTGAATGATTTAAATGTGAAAACGAAGGATTAAAAAGCATTCGTGTCCTTTTAAGTCAATTTTCAGCATAAACAACCACCAAGTGTTAGTTTCTGAGCGTGTTAGGAGATGACTCAGTTCCACAAACAAAAGCCTCAAGATGTGGTCAGAAAACAAAGTTTACATCTACAAGAAAAGACCGACATGTCATTTAATATTATTTTYTAACTTGGTCTTTATCTTACTACATAACTGAATTATTTCATGAAAGTTTCAGTCAAGTCTATGCAATGGTTCACAAGATATTTGACTAACAGGAAAACAAAATTTGTGTCGTAAGTTAATGRCAAAGTTTTAAACAAAAATYTTGGACAATCAGTTCYTGCTTGGAGTATGTGCTGACAATCAGTCTCAGCTAGCACAACACATTTAACATCAGTGTATGTAAACTTGGCTGAGTCATGCTACGTTTCTGTTTCCTAAGTTCAGTTGGCTGTGGCAGCCATTTTTAATTAGTTCATAAGACATAACAATTGCAGTGAAACATCTTTATTTTCCTTTTGCAGTTCTGAGTTGGTGAAAACTTTACATTTTTTTTGAAATCTTTGAAAGTAAAAGCCAGTTTTAGTAAATATCCTGAACAAGTGGGAGTAATAATTGTTTTCTCATCAGTTGTGACAGAATCTGTGACCTCCTCAACCAGACTGACGTCTCTCCCTCCAAGTGAGTCTGTTTTTCCTCTCAGTCACCTTCACTGTCTTCGGTTCAAACTCGGAGCAGAAGACAGAAACTTTAGCTGGTTCTTGAGGAAGTAGCTGGTGAGTAAGAGTGTCTCCCCTCTTTGTTTTGCCGTGTGTCTTCTCGTTGCCAGAGGGAACCGGCGGATCCAATCAGCGGATGATGTCCAGCGGTGCCGGAGGGCCGGGCTTGGAGAAGAATGTTTTAACGCAGAGCAGCGGTGGGACCTACTTCTCTTCATGTGAGAGCAACTTTCCGTTCCTGGCTTCAAAAGAACGAGGAAGTTTCAGGGTTTGGAGGATATTTTTACCCCAAACAGAAAGAAAGATTTTTGTTTTCGCTCATCAGAGACAGTTTGAGGAACGTCCAAGCAGCAGCAGCGGAGTCAGTATTTTTAAAGTCGAAACAGATGCTGAGACTACAGGATCACACACTTTAATGTTTCTGCTGCACAGTTAAACAGATTTTAACCTTTTATTTGCATAAGTGGGTAAAATGGAGCTAAATTCTTGCATTTTATAAGTGCAAGAAGCCTGACGTCTACACAAATATGTGAGAATTTGTACTCCTCCGGCTTTAACACTTAAAGCAGTCACATTATTGAGATCAGTTTCTCTTCTGTACATTTTTGGCACATATCTCATTCAGCTGTTTTTGTGTTAGTTTAAAGATGTATATGTCAAAATATCCAGCTATACATTTGGTGCTTCAGCAATTTCTATATTTTGAAAGTTTTAGCTTTTTCTGCCATTTTTCTTTTCATTAAAAATGAATAGAGCAGTCTTTAACATCCTGAAAACCTTTCAAAATGTTCATAAATACTATATTTACTTATGTACTTTTTACATTTCGTTCTAGTTCTGTTTTTTTAAACTTCTTTGTGCTAATTTTAGCTTCCTTCAGCTTCTGTTCTGCTGATTTTAGCTTTTTCCTGCTTTTCTCAGCTTATTTAGTTTTCATTAAATTATTTTCTGCATTTTTTCTGCTAATTTTAGCTTCTTTATGCTTCTTTCAGCTGCTTTTTGCCAATTTCATCTGTTTTCTGTGTCTTTTAGCTACTTTTATGTTGTTTGAGGTTTCCTCAGCTAAATTTACATTTTTGTGAGAATTTTACTTCCTAATTCAGCAAACACAAGCTACTTTTAGTCTTATTTAGCATTTTCAGCTACTTTTCTACTAATTTAATCAGTTTCGGGCTCAACTCAGTTCTTTCCAAGTTAATTTTAAAGATATTGAGCTCAGGTTTGGTGGGCTAGTAGCCAAGAGCGTTCCTCACCACATGCTGAAAGCCAATACAAGCTGTTCTTATTAAACCTCTATCTCTGTTGCAACTTTTTTCTGCTTTTTAAACAACGTTTTTGCTACAATTTACTATTTTCTGCTAATTTTAGCTACATTTCTGCTCACAATAATTATTATCTCCTGAGTGTTTCTTTAAAGTCCATCTTGCAATTTGTGAGGTATTTTGCTAACAGACAGGCAAAATTACTCTTTTTTTTTTTTTTAGGTGATGGCAAAATTTAAACCATAAATCTTGTGCAGTCTGTTGGTACAGATCTGTGAGGGGTCAGTCTCAGCACACCAAATTTTAGCTCAATATTTGGAAAATTGGATGAGTTCAAGTCATTCTTGTGGTTTTATTTAAGACTTCTCCCAGTGTGGGTGTACATCCAGTGGTTATTTACTTTATGGGATAGTTTGGTGACACACACACACACACACACACACACACACACACACACACACACACACACACACACACACACACACACACACATATGTGTGTGCGCCTCATCTATAGAGCCTTCCTGACAGATTCTTATTAAGTGAACTGAGTGTTTCTATGTATTTTCTATCCCTCCAGCCTCTGTCGGTGTGACCAGCAGCTACAGCTCCTCCTCGGGAATCTACCTCGGGGGAGACTCCTCYGGTGGAGGGGAGGGAGGAGGGAGCTACATAGATGGAGAGAGCTTTGGAAGAGGAGGAGGAGGAGGCGGGAGCAGCTATGTGGTGAGCTCTGTGTCAAAGGTCAGGTCCAGCTCGTCGGGCGGTGCCAGGAGAGCGCAGACTGCTGTCTCAGCAGGAGGCCTGTCGCCGGCCTTCAGGGAACGGAAGACCATATCCAGCCGCTCGGGGGGCTACGACGGTGAGGTGCTGGTGGTGGTGGTAAAGCACACAGCTGCTGGTGGTGGTGGTGGTGGTGGTGGTGGTGGGGGGGTCTGAAAAGGAAAAAGGATATCAAGGATATTGTTCATGGCTTTTCTTTAAAACTGTTGTGTTTCTTCAGGGAGTTCCAGCGCCAACTCCTCTCCAGAATTCACACGCAAAGATTATGGAAACTACTGTAAGGCAGCGTGAAKGCTGAGGAATACACAGCTTTACTCTACAGATGTGTTTTTGATYTTTCCTTTTGTTTTCAGGCTCCAGCACCTCAAGAGGGAGGAGTGAAAGTAGAGGTATTCAATACCCCACCAACTCCCCACAACATTATTTCTACTCCATCTTTTTTCCCCATTAAATCTGGTTTCTTTTGTCTGTTTTGGGTTGTGATTTTTATTTTTWTTWTTTTCCAGAGAGCGAGATCAGAGCCAGATTACAAAGTGCCTCCCCCTCTGCCGGAAGATGTAAGACCTCTGGAGTCAATGATCCTTCTGCTGTTATGCAATTCCTCATAAAAAAYGAGAGAAAGAAAGAGCTTTTTCTTCAAAGACACAGTTGGATTGAGAGAAATTTCTTCCACGGGATGTGCCTCTTTAGAATTATGTTGCTGTCAAATGATTTGGCTCCAAAGTCAGCACATGACAAATACACATTCCACTTTTTACATGCCATGAAGTCTCAACTAGAAACACATGTACAGTTAGGGTCTGGGGAGAAAAAAGTAGAAAAAAAAGAGTAGGGTGAGGTTTAAACAGTGGCTATTGTGAGTGTGTCTGTAAAAGACCACGTGCTGAAGCAGGAAATGTCCAGAACTGGATGGTAACTGTGGCACACATGAGTCACTCCTGCTGTTGAAACAAAACAGAGATACTCAGCTGCACAGATGTTCTCATTGCGCCCCCTGTTGGTTAAAGTCACTCTYTGCTGTTACTTAATCAACATTGTGCAACAAGTACACTATTGCACTGGGGTTGTGGGAAAAAATGTCCAAGTTAATTTTAAAAAGCATTTAGATGAGAAACAGACTCTGAGTTATTAAAGCTGAAAGAAGATGGATACTAGTGGAAATCTAAATCTAAAAGTGAAGAGCCAGAAATAGCAACATGGTAAATAAAAGTGCAAACACTAGCTAAAACAAAAATTTGCTAAACTATAGCTACAACCTAAAAGTGACAAAGCTGTAAAATTAGCATTATGTCTGCTAAAGGTAGTGAAATGCTGGAAACAAAATTTAGCAAAAGCCTAAAGCTTATAGTTAAAATAATAGTATAAAGCAATAGTTCAAACAAACAAATAAAAGGTAGCCAGAAGCTGAAAGTAGCAAAAGGCTATACTAAAAGCTAAACGTAATAAAATGCTGGAGACTAAAAACAGCAAAAATGACCTACAATTTAAAAGAAACTAAATGCTAATTAAAAAAGAGAAAAATAATCAAATAAATAAAATAAAATAAATCAAAAGACTAGCTAAATGTTGAGTATCAAAAGACTGGCTAGAAGCTGAAAGTAACAAAAGGCTAACTAAAAGCTAAAAGTGGCAAAAGTCGAGCTAAACTATCGATAAAATCTAAAATAAATAAAGCATATATGCTAAAACAGATTTCAAAACAGAGAACAACCTTATCACAACAGTGAAAATATTCATGAAAAATGTCAATATTTAGAAATGTATAAACGTTACTATAACTAAAAGTTAAATGACCCATCATAAGCTGAAGGTTTTGTAATTTAAAAATGTTTAAGTAGCACAAAGTAGCCTTTGCAGAAGTTGTTAGATTGCAACGAATGTACAGAAAAACACAATAGTGTAAATCCTGAATCAGCATTTGTACATTAAAATATTGTATCAGTGTGTTTTTATACTTTACAGCTTGTACTTTATGGATAACCACACTTTATACTGTAGTTTGAAGGAAAATATTTTACTTTTTCCATGGATTAAAATAAAAAGATCAGAAACTTTATTAACCTTCAACAACAGTCAGTAAGCAGGAAAGAAATAAATTTCAGTTATTCAGGTTTAAAATTCGTCTTTCTAAAGAATGCGTCACAGCCCTTGCATTTGCTGCAGGGTTTGCTAAGACCTTGTACACACAGTTGTCATTTTTAAACCGTGTTTGTGTGCCTGGTTTGGCAGGGGCAGAGCTGGAAGACGTGAAGAAGCTGCTGAAGGGCCGCTCCAGCAGCGTCAGCCCTACTCGCTCCTCCAGCGCCTCCATCACCCTGCCCGTCCCGAAAAAGTCCAGCGTGGAGACCAAGACCGTCTCAGTAGCCACTCAGTCAGGTATATTCTGTTACGAGGGAGACTCACATGCTGCACATTCGTAGACACTTTGTCTCCYTCCCACATGGTTTTTGTGCCACCTCAGATTCCCTTTAGCTGCACCGTCATCGCCGAGCGGCTTGTTCTTCAAAGTCAAGAGTGCACTTTTCAGATCTAAAAAAAGATGATTTCTTGAACTGTGGGGGNACCATTAGCTGTCCACAGAGCCAGAGCCTGAGCAAGTGCCAGGTATAAAAATATAGTGGTTGGGGAAATCCGTTGACCTCAGTTTAGAAAACAGCACATCTATTTTTTTAAGAGTTTAAGCAATGAATTTTTGTTCAGTGAAACTGGAAATTTGCTAAAATTATTTCTTCCAGGATGAAAATCTATTCTTAAACCCATGTACATCTCAAATTACACCTTAATAATGCTAAAAAACTATTTCGGAATTAGAGCTGGATGGGATTTTAAGGACTGTCTAACCTCAGGATAGAATGCCCTCAATATTTCACAAACAAACATGTTTCTAATAAACTTTACCAGAAGACGTGCATGTCCAAGGTGATTTTGATCAATTCTACCCATGTTACAGATTATTGTAGCCAGATGCTCTAGTTTGTAATTTGAGCATCTCGAAACATTTGTTTCACATCCGGTGTTCTGTTGACTTCTGCTTCCCTGTTTGGCTGTTCCCCCGGGGCTCTGCATGCACTGAAAAAGCAGCTCAACACAACACCTGCTGCCAGTGTCACTGCAAAAAGCTTTTCTAATCTGAGGGAATATATTTCACTAGRTCTACCAGAGGGCCACATAGCACTGCACACTTACCCAAACGTAATAAAGCTGTCATTTAAAAAGGCTTGTGTATTGTTTATTAGACCGACACACAGTGCAGTAAATTAACATATCTCATGCTCACGTGCATATATAACAGTTGTACCCTTGTTTATAATACATATGAAAACTAAAACCTTTGCAAACAAAGAATAAACACTTATTTAAGCAAGCTGAAGTTCACCAGCATAAGAAGCCTTGAGTCCAGACTCCTGTGTGGTTGTGGTTCTGGTAAAAAAGTTGCTGTTGTTTATGTACTGCTACTTCAGTTTACCTCCTATATTTAGCTTTGTGCAACGTGTGACTTAAATTAAACTCTTTCATGCCATACAGCATCTCTAAGCTGACTAAAAGCCTTGAAATTATGTGAACAGATAGTTTACTTCAATTTTATGTCCAATTTTCTTTATTTCGTTTTTAGTTGTAGCTAAAAGTCTCACTGGCAGAGAAAACAGGAGCACAAAGTTGCATCTGCCACGCCCTCTAGTGGCAAATTTTGTCACTACAACCAATTCAGTGCCACTGAGACACTTTCATACATATTTCTAATTTTCAAAAAATGATGTATGAGCTGCTTTGAGTGCTTTTTTAAAAAGTTTAAAGTGTAAAAAAAAGTTTTTTGGTGGTTGGGCCTCGTTGGTGGGCTGAGTGGAAGTCTGCAGCCAGTTGCCCATCCCTGGTTTGGCTATAACTGAAATGACAAATATTCATATTTTTGAAAACTTTTTTTGAAAGGAACTTTTTGACCCTTCTGCCGCRCTTGGGTCAAAATGATCCACAGGACCTGGTGAGTCATTTTGACCCAAGGACAGTTAGAAATGTTTGTGCACTGATGTGATGATACATTTAGGCAAAGTACTGTACATTTTATAAAAAGCGAGTATAAATTTCCTGAAAGACAATTTTCTGGAATTTAGCAAAACTGCACAGCAACGTTTACATCACAAATAAAAGAAAAGTAAAAGGGAACATGCTCCCATTCATAATTTTTGTGTTTTTTTTATGTCCAACAGTGTCGTCTTCATTTGGCTCCGGTTTGAGAACGGCTGGGTTTGACACCATTGATGTAGCTGGCCTCTATGATACTGGGATGACATCTCGGCAGCGGGATACTGGAGTCCAAACGGGCCGTTATGATGTCACGGTCAAATCAAGCCATTATGATACTGGCACCAAATCGAGCCAGTATGATGTTAGCCTGGGTTCAGGCCAATATGATGTTGGTTTGAAGTCAGCACAATATGATATGAGTCTGAAATCAGGCCAATATGATACTGGTTTGAGGTCAGGTCAGTACGACAGTGTGAGGTCAGGTCAGTACGACAGTGTGAGGTCAGGTCAGTACGACAGTGTGAGGTCAGGTCAGTACGACACGCTGGACGCCCCATTTCCCACTTTCTCCTGGTCCACCACAACACTACCATCCTCCTCCGCCGCTCCAGTTGTCYCTGGCAACACCAGCAGCAGCTACACCTACCAGGTCAGCCAGACCGGCACCAACAACATGCCAGGGGGGTCCCCACCACTCAGCCCTGTCTCACCCCCATCCCTGTCAGGTACCTTATTTCTGCTGATCTCTTAAAGAGAGTYTTGTCCACATACCTGAAAATGAAACATTTTTCACTAACCCAGTCAGTGAAAAAAATACATAAATATTTGGGACGTTGTGAAAAATGTAAATAAAATCAACTTTGCAATGTTTTGAAAATCTCATAAACCCACATTTTATTCTCAAGGGAACGTAGTAAATATCAAATGTTGAAATCAAGAAACAGACTAACAATTTTAAATTTAAAGACAGCAACACATAAAAGTTGGGACGGGGCATCAAGGCTGTAAAAATAAGGGAACCAACAAGAAACACCTGGAGGAGATTTTTTTTWAAATCAATAATTAGGTTAAATAGAAACAGGTCAGTAAGAAGACTGAGTGTAAAAAGAACATTTTAGGGAGGCTGGATTTATTAGAAGTAAAAATGGGCAGAGGTTCACCAGTCTATGAAAAAAAAAACTGCCTAAAATTAGTGGAATAATTTCAGAATAATCTGGAGAATATTCTGATATCAAAATACAAGAACGAAAGCCATTAACCATCTCACAGTTAAAAAAATGGTTACTTCTGCACAAAGTGTCTGAGCTTCGACAGCTTGCTGTATGAACACTGAGTTGCACCGTTGGAACTGAACAAATTCAACCAGTAAATTTACACCATTATACAGACCCAAGGAATTTTGTGTTAACTGATTTGTGTTAAACTTTTCTTTAACATCATAGATAACATTTTTCATAAATATTTTTAAGCTGTAAGTCTGCTTTTTGAGCTTGTTGAACGTGCACTGTTGCATTTTCACAGAAACCTCAGTGTTTATCTTGGTTGACCTGCTGTGACTCAGATCTCATACTAGTTGAAAACATTTGGTGCATAATGAAACAAAAAATCAGCAAGAAGTCCCAGGACTGCTGAGTAGTACATCAGACAGCTACACAGAGGCAAACATGACTCCTTTCTCCTTTTTTTAGAGATTTGTTTCGGCAGTCAAATACGAAGTTGACTTTTTTTTTCTAAAAACTGCACAAACTATTTCATTGAAAGAAAACATTTAAAAGGTTTAGTGTAATCCATCACAAATACAATATGGGTTTATGAGATGTGAGAAAATTCATTTTTATTAACACTTTACACAAGGTCCCAACTTAGTTGGAAGCGAGYTTGTGAATTGATCAAATGGGCCAAATCCTGTGAAACCAAATCAGTTTCCTCGTGTCTTTTTACAGTTTATGGCTTTCAAAATAATCTGGCACCCACCTCCAGCGGTGTTCTTACCACCAGTGGCGCCAATGTCTCTGCAAATGCCGGAGGTACTGCGCCGCGTCTACACATTCTCACATATTTTTCATGCTAAAAATGATCAAAAATGCAGCTCTTTTATTGATGAGTGTGTGTTTGTATTGACAGGATATGGTGTTCAGAAGAACGTGTCAAACGGCGGAGGTGTCATCAGCTCTGGGGCCTCTACAGGTTAGCCTGAAAAAGTGAAAAGTTGCCGTCAGGCGACAGTTTTAAACATCACATCCCTCCTGACCGAGTCTCCTGTCGTCAGCTACAAGATTCCAAACTGACGATGCCTACAGGAGGGACTATAAGTACGTGGCTTCTGAGAAGGAGAACGTTCCTGCCAGGAGAGATGGAGAGATGCTCATTTTGGCCAAAGACAGTGGGAAGCAGTTCACCACCACCACCACCGGCAGCAGCGGCGTTCATGTTGGAGGAGGTGAGTGATGAACGCACTGACCCCTTCTGGAGAAACAGGGATGATGACGCAAAAACTATTACGCTATTTCTAATTGTTGCTTTTTATAAACCATCTGCTGCTCAGGAAGAAAAATAAATATAATTTGAAAAGAAATCTATCTGTTGTGGGTTTGTGTGTCATGCTGTGTACTTTGCAGGTTCGCTGTCAGGAGATTCCATCAAGAAGGAGAAACTTATTTCCAGCTACGTTGACACGGCCCCACTGAAAGCAGACACGGGGAACTCTTACTGTGAGCACTGATAATGTAAAGCTTAGTTTTGTGATAAACTTCGGAAATGATTTTAAACATAAACAGGCGACACTGTCCTGTTTCTCCATCAGACGGATCGTCTGGAGTTTTAATGAAAGACAAAGCAACGTATGCAGGTAATTTTTCAGCTCATTACTCCTGAGAGGAGCGTTCGTTTGGTGAGGGGTGTTTGAATTACCAAAATAAATTGTTTTTGTGGGTATTTTTTCCCTTTGAAGAAAAAAAAACTATCAAATCTTGATTAGCATTTTCATTGTTTTGTTCCATTATACAAGACATTTTTCAAAGAAGTAACAAATTCAAATCAAAAACTATCTTAGCACAAAAACTAAGAACATTTGAAGTTTATTTCTTTGTTGTAACAATGCTTCTTGGCAATAAAGCTTATACAGTTAGAAAGGATGTTAAATGCCCTTTTAAATTGTGCCACATTTGTAAGGAACATGCATTTGTGGGATGAGCAGTAGAGCTGAGTGTGTGGGTTGTGCACGTGAAAAACTTGCCAAATCTTCCCTGCCATTGGCAAACATCTTGTTCTGCTGTTGTTATTTAAAACTTGATTTGAGCTTCTGGTTCCCCCAGGTTCTTCCAATCAGCTGCTCTGAATAAGATTTATTACCAAGAAGTTTTTGTACAATAAAGAAATAATCAACCAAACATAAACTTCCTTACTTTTTGTGCTATATTTATCTAAAGTTTGATTCATTTTATAATAAACCCAGATTTAAACCAAATTACATACAAGACTTTTTAAATAGAATGTGAATATTTGACTTATAAAACCTATAAACTGATTATCCAAATAACACGGCGTGAACACTAAGAGTGAGACTTTAACTCTGTCCTCAGAGATCCGCAGAGACAGCGGCGTCTTCGGAGGCGGAGGCTTCTGCTGCTGCTCCGACGCGTGCTGCTCCTGGTGGAAGTGGCTGCTGGGCTTGCTCCTCCTCGGCCTCCTCCTGCTGGGACTCTTGTTTGGCCTCATCGCACTGGGTAACACTGACTTAGAGCAATAGTAGACAAAAGGAAAAATAAATATTTCCCTGAACATGATACCTCAGCAGGCCTGAGGATCTGGAGCTGGTGTCTGGGAGGGAGTTGTTTTTGTACAAATAAAACACTTTTCAGTTTTTACAAGCTGCTGAGCCTTATTTCACAGGGCCGTGAGGCAGCACGTGCCGTGGAAATGTGACCTCTGCAGGCTCTCGCCCTCCCATAAAGTCTGGCACCTGTAAACTTTGGAAATAGTTGCCTGATAACTGCATTTGTTCACCCTGCAGCAGGACTATTGTAATGCACATTTCTCCTGGTAAACTGTGCTAAAGCCAGTCTGTAGGAAATTTTATGGCGTTTATTGTTACTTGCATGTAACCCTGTATAAAATGCATGAAAAACAGTTACCAACACACAACGACACGCACAAACACACCACTTCCTCCATAAGCAACATTCATCCAATGTTTTACAATCTGTTGAGCAAGACAGCTAACAGTGAAGTGAAACATGTTTGCTGTGTGTGATGAAATATTTCACAATTAACGGTTTTTCTATGAAAGTACTACATCGGCAATAACTTTTCTCGTATTTTTGAAATTTCAGAGCACAAAGCGTAACAAAGTGTAGAGCGTGCTGAGAGTACCAGAAACAACAATCCTTGTCAGAGCCATGAAATATACACTTCCCAGAGCACCATAAATTCTATTCTTATTGTGAAAAACCTTTTAAGTGTGCCTTAAGAGCGCTGAAAGAAATTGATTTATGTAGAGAAAAAAAAAACAGATTTGCAGTTGTCCATTAATATCAAAGCATTGTAGCATTAGTTATGTGTGTATTAAAAAATAATTGCAAACAGAAACTAAAAGTATTTTCTTAAATGTTGTCAGTATCTGACATGTAGGCTGTGCCTGAAGTGGCAGACTATGGTTTAAATTAAAAATCAGGGATCACACAGACTGTTCGGCACCAATGTGATTATGCTTCCATGTTTTTTGTTGACTTTCTCAGCGTTGTGTTTGAGAAAATACCGTAGATTTGTCTTTAGATGCATATCATGCAAAATCCACTTGTTTTAGCTCTTAAATACATTTTGTTGTGAGTGCAGAAAGTCTCCCAGTGCTGCGTAGATATATTTATATACTGTTTAGATCATAAGTTTTAACACATTCAGTTTTCTCTATTTTTTTTTACATTTTTGAATAGTAAAATCACAATATTTGCTGCAGAGCGGCTAAAAAAGGCTCATGGACTTCCAGCTAACCAGTTGCACATATCCGCATTTTTCCTATTTGTTATCTTTATTTGCATCTTTGAATTAATTTATAAATAAAAAGTTTCTGCGCTGCTATATAGTCATAAATCCCTCTATCAAACTAGAATGGACCACACTGGAAGCTGGAGGGGGGGCGGAGTTTGATGTGCCTAATTTGCATTTAAAGAGACAGTACCAAAATGAGTTGCTCTCAGACACAACTCAGAACGGGGTGAAAGAGGGGCCTGCGTAGCCATAAAAACAAGGAGTGCCCACCAAAGCATAGCTCCACTTCATATGCTGTAGACCCAAATGAATGATTTAAATGTGAAAAGGAAGAATTTAAAAGTATGATATGACTCCTTTAATGTTCGCAATATGTAACAGTTGTTATCTACTAAACAGTAGAGACTTCTTTGGTTTCAGCCTTTGTCCTCTGTCTGTTAGTGATGTAACAATTAATCAAGAATAAATTAATAATCGGTTAAAACTGATTAAAATGTAATTCGATTCATAAAACTGAAAGAATCAGTTTCGTTGTTATTGTTGTCTTTAAGACAAATTCAGTTTTATACTTGATAACTTTTGGTCACTAAAGGATTTGTGATGACATTTTTATTTATTTTGAAGTTATATTCAAGACAACAGACATTTTGATACAAGGACAAAAATGCTAACGCTAAAAAGAAAGAAACATATTTGGTTGGAAAATGGCTATAGTTCATTTTGTCAAAAAATTTAAAAATATAATCGTAATCATGAATTTAAAATCAATAATGAAATCGACGCGGGGCTCCCTATTTAATATTGTTGTTGTTTTTTCCCAGCTGAGGATGTGAGGAAGCTGAAGAGCCGAGTGGCGACATTGGAATCCGAGGCCTCGGTTGCTGCTGCTCGCACTAGTCGACTGTCAGGTTTCACCAATGACATCAACTCCCACGTAAGCGGCGGCAGTGGCGGCGTTGGCGGTGGCGGAGGTACCGGTACTGACACGGTCTTCATGGGAGGCGGAGGCTCGGATTCCAAAACAAAAATTGACATCACTCTTGTTGGCGGCGGCACCACCGGTGGCAACGACATTGACAGGGGCACTTTAGTCATCGGTGGGGTTGCAGGAGCCGGAGCCGGAACCGGTGGCGGTGCCGGCAGTGCTGGTGCCGGTGCTAACGCTGGTGCTGGTGCCAATGCTGGTGCTGGTGTTAGTACTGGTGCTGCTGCTGCTGGTGGTGGTGGTACCAGTTTGAGTGGCAGTGCTGGTGGCGCCAGTTCAAGCAGTAGTGCTGTTGGTACCGGTACCAGTATCGGTGGTGGCACCAGCCTCGGTACCAGAGTGAGTGGAAGATACATCGATGATGCTGTTCTTCTGATGGCCATAAAGCAAATGTTGCGATCTGAGGTGCAGTCCCAGGAATTCAGAGGTACTGCATGAACACACACACACACACACACACACACACACACACACACACACACACACACACACACACACACACACACACACACACACACACACACACACTTACTAAGTTCATGTTCACTGAAATCATTATTTTCTCTCTCAGCTGTTCTTGCAACCTCAGTTCAGGCAGAGAGAGGATTGCCTGGACCTAAAGGTGATGCCCAAGTTTTGTTTTATAAAAATCTAAACCTATCATTTGTCAAGTTTTAAATTGTTCTTCTAATTTGCTGACTCACTTTTACCAGATTTCAATTTTTCCTCATTAGAATACTGCTTATTAGACTTATAATAAAAACTTCTTGTTTTTTGTTCAGGTGATTCTGGTTTTCCTGGAAATCCAGGTGAGTAGTCACTTTCCACCAGCTGAGCTTATATGTTGTCTCCTGTCACTGTTAAATAACCTCATTTTTCTGACTGTGACCTTAGGTGTACCAGGTCCAATGGGACATCCTGGCCCTGAGGGTCCAAAAGGACAGAAAGGAAGCCAAGGTACAGCGAGTGTTTCTGTTCAGACTGAGATGTGACATTTCAGTTAACTCAGAGTAACTGAAGGTCTGTCAACTAAAGGTGAACACGGACAGGAGGGGGCAACGGGTGTCAGGGGTCGTGAGGGTCCACCTGGGCCCAGAGGCGATCCGGGACCTCCAGGTTTTGGACTGAAAGGTACACATATATAATGAGAGGCTTTTAACAGTGAGATAAAACATCTGTCCTGATGCAGAATCAGTGCAACGCTCCAGGGTTTCATGAGTTTGGTTTCTGCAGGTGCTCGCGGAGATCCTGGACCTTCTGGACCTGTGGGACTTGCTGGGGAGCCTGGACAAAAAGGTGAGATCAGTACATTTAAATTAGAGCTTGGGAAAAAAACGGGCAGAATTAAAGACCAAGCATTTGAGGCTAAATGCAGATCGCCCGCCAGTTTGCCAAGGTTGATTGAATTTAGAAATTTATCAGTTTTAGTTAAAAATAAAAATCAGGTACCTTCATTCAAAATATCGACTCTACGTCTCTCCTAATGCCCCAGGTGTGGCTATTTATGTGTTTTTAAGGTTTGTCAGGCTGTGGTGGCCATTTTGGATTTTATTGACTCCAAAAAGTTGTCAGCTCTAGGCATATACCCAGTCACTTTGGCCTGTGATTTACAACAAAATCCTCCCCACTGTTTTTGAGATATGGTGGGAAAAGACGCACACACAGACAGATGCACGGAGGCGGTTACAGTATTGGTGGGCAATAATAAAGAAAACCAACAAATTGAATTTGATAATTTATCATTTCATGATGTTAAACTAAAGAGAAACACCAGGGGGCAGTGTGGTGTTAATTTCAGTCTGTGAGTACACCTTTGTGTCTGAGCAAGAAGCAAACAATTTGATTGTTTTTCCTTGACCAACAAATGAACATTATTTATTTATACCAGTACTTGTTTTATATTTTACTATTCTTTTGTGGCATCTTTTCTTGACATGCCAACCTCAAAAATGTTTAAGAGTTTTAAAAGTTTAAAAGTCTCTTTAACTCAGATCCTTTTGATTTATTTTTAGGCGCTCAGGGAGTTCCTGGATCAGCCGGACCACCAGGTCAGTTTCTTTTCTTCACGTGAAAAATTTCTATTTTCAGATTCTGCACCACGAGCTGAAAACATGAACAGTATTGGTTTTGTTACAGGTCAGCCAGGTCCTCAGGGTTTCCGTGGCGAGTCTGGGCTACCTGGGGCTAAAGGTGGGTTAGGCACGAACTATAACTTCATTACAGAAAAATAAAAAAAAGTTATTTTTGTTGGATTTTAAGAGTAACTCTTGTCTCTCTGCAGGGGACAGGGGTCTTGCTGGATTTCAAGGACTCAAAGGTTTGTTGTAGCTCCATCCAATGACAGGACCTGTGGACTCAGTGACCATTTTAACCAGTTTAACCTTTAATGGTTGTAGGTGACGTTGGTTTACCAGGTCAGCCAGGTATACCAGGAGAGAAAGGCGCCAAAGGAGCTATGGGTGAGTCATGAGATTTATTCTAAATGCTGTGAACATTAGTTTCTTACTGACAGAATACAGTGGTTTGCAAAAGTATTCATACCCCTTGAACTTTTCCATATTTTGTCACATTACAACCACAAACATAAATATATTTCACTGGAATTTAATGTATAGGCCGCAGTTCGATGATCGATTTTGTCATCGTTTCATCGGATCTGCGACCGTATGTCTTGGAC